AAAAAAAAAAAAAAAAAAAAAAAAAAGAGGGCCGGGGATTTAGCTCAGTGGTTCCGGCATCAGCACAAGGACATGAGTTCAATCCCCAGTACCAAAAACAAAAAAATTTTTTAACAAAAGAATACACCCTCCAAATACAAGCATCTTGGACACTAAAGACTCTGGTTCTGGGATTGGTAGATGTATCTCTATGGCAGAACATGTGCTTAGTATCCATAAGCCCTGGATCCGATCACCAATCATCACCAGCACATACACACACAGCAAGAGCTGGCCACGAAGGTGTATCATGTGTAATCCCAGAACTCAGGAGGCTGAGGCAGGATTGAAGGTTTGAGGCCAGTGATATCAATCTTTCTCTGTCTCTCCCCCTTTTCCATTTAATGACTATTCAAGAGGAGCTCTTCTGCACCACCTCCATACCTTTGGGGGGGGGTACCAGGGATCGAATTCAAGACCCTGTGCTTTCGAACCAGGTGGCAAAACCACTAAGCCAAATCCCCAGCTTACCCCTATAACTTTCCACAGGACACACTAATGTTTAAGGTATATCCCCTAAACAAGGATTTATCTTCATTAAGTGTCTCAGGAGGCACAAGATTCTTGAGCATGACTTGAATATATTTCAGGTATGATGGCATAAGCCTAGCTCAGTGTTAAAGGCAGAAGGATGGAAAGCTTGAGTCTTACCTAGACAAGACCTTGTCTCAAAATAAAATAAAAAGGGCTGAGGACATAAGTGTTAAGTGTTAATGAGACCCTAGGTTTGATCCCCAGTACCAATAAAAAAAATTATTTTTCATTAACAAGCACGTGCTTTGGGATGGGGGCGGTTACTGGGGATTAAACCCATGGCTTTTTCCTCTGCACTACCTCCGGCTACCTCCCAGCATTGTTATTATTACTTTTTGCGGGGGGGAGGGTGCTACTTTTTGAGACAGGGTCTTGCTAAATTGCACAGCCTGGGCTTGAATTTGCAAATCCTATGTCAGCCTCCCAGAGAGCTGGGATTATGTGTGTACACCACCACAACTAGCTAAAAATTTAAAAATATATCCCTTTGGGGCCAGGGATTTAGCTCAGTGGTTCTGTCCCCTGCCTTGCAAGCACAAGGAGTTTGATCCCTGGTACCAAAAACAAAAACAAACAAACAACAATATATCCCTTTGTAGGATTCCATCATGACTGTTATATGACTACTCAGCAGACATAGCAGAAGAGTTTTAAAAACAATGACCAGGGGCTGGGGATTTAGCTAAGTGACACCGCACCTGCCTCATAAGCGCAAGGTCCTGAGTTTGACCCCTGGTGTGTGTGTATGTATGTATAGAACCACCAGTAGGAGGTCTCGCAAACAATTTTGTTTCCTTGGGTAATAATATTCCAGGGCTGTGACCCTTGCATGCCATTATCAAACTTATAATGGATGTCATCTATCTATCCATACATCCACCTGAGACAGGGTCTCACTATGCATTCTACACTGGTCTCAAAATCATGGTGAACCTCCTGCCTCACCCTCCAGAATGCTGGGATTACAGGCGAGCACCACCAAGCACAGCATGAATGCTGTTTAGCAGCCAAAGCCAGATCCAGTTCAACATAATCCTATCACGCTTCTAGTTCAAAAAAATTAACACTGATTCCTTAGGTTCAAAGCATACCACACTAGGCCAAAAAAAAGGGGGGGATGTTAAGTGAATGTTGTTGACAATATAAATATCAGGTAGCATAAAACTCAGAATTAGCAAATCATAACTGGGTGTGGTGGCACACACCTGTAATCCCAGCACTCAGGAGGCCAAGAGGCATAAGGATGGGAGTTTGAGGCCAACCTGGGATACATAGTTCAAGGCCAACCCGAACTACACGGAGAGACCCTGTCTCAAAACAAAACAAAACCGGGCCGGGGATTTAGCTCAGTGGCACCGTGACTGACTCGCAAACTCAAGATCCTGAGTTAGACCAAAAAAAGCTGTTATTTACACCAAGTCTTAAACGTAATGCAAGCGATCAATTTCTCGATCTGTCAAATGATTCTCAACCACCACCACCACCACCACCACCACCACCAAAATGATGTCAAGAAGGAAGAAACTTTTATTAAGCACAAACAACGCGAGCGTCAATGAGGTAAGTTAGTAACAAATGCAACTGAGCCCCGCCAAATCTAATTCATGCGTTCCAGAAACTACTGACTTTTGGGGGGGTTGGGTTTTGCAGTTGTAAACGTAGACAGCAGTAAAGACAAATTCTAGACGTCGAGACATTAGGCCACCATCGTTTTTCCAGACTCCTTCCGTGTTGGGGCGACGTGGCGCGAATTCCGTAGTGAACGTAGCCCGACGACGACACTGAAGGACACAAGACTCGGCCCGCTCTGACCCATGAGACATCCCCGTCTCTAGGGGTGTCCCGGCCCGAGACTCCTGAGACCGCGGCGTTTCCGTTCCCA